TGTGCCTGCATTTTGTCCATTATGTGCTTGTGCCTGCATTCCGTCCATTACATGTGTGTGCCTGTACAGTGGCATTTGCTCTTGTGTACTTGAAGGATGTAAAGAGTCCTTTCCAGGGCCATTAATAAAAGAGTGTGGCTTTACCCAGTAAAGCTGCCTTCGCATTTCTGCAATGTCCGGACTTGCCTGATGCTGTACTGGTGTCAGAAGTGGGATGCTGCAGATTGTGAAACTACAGCTGGAGCTTTTCCAACTTCAAAGGGAGCAGCAACCGGTGAGGGTGAACAACCCAAGCACATGGCGATGGGTGGAAGAAGCCAAAGAGTCCACACAGAGAGCAGTCTATCCTACTATCCTACCAGCAGCAGCTGCCTGGCTCCCCAATTATAGAGGAGACCAGCCATGTGCGCTCTTCAAGGTCCAAGAACAACACTTGGGATGACCACATGGTGGCCATCCACCTAAGACCGGTGGTCGAAGATGGAACCCTCCAGACCCTTCTGGACATTACCCCAGAGGTCTGCTTCCATCTAGCAGAGCTGACGGCAGCACTGAACCAGTGGTTCAGGAGGGGTAAAGGGGAGGCAAAAGCCTGGCAGCAGTTCAGCGTCAGGCGGTGCACAGAGGGGAGCAGCTAGGAGTGCTGGCTGCTTACCTCTACATGCTAGCCCAGCTGTCCTACCCTGACTACCCAGTAGCTGTGGAGGAAGACCTGGCTTTGCAGGCCTTCCTCTCTGCTCTCCTCCAGGATTACTTACAGCAACAAGTGTAAGGTCCATCTAGTAAGTGCAGAGAACATAGAGGCTATCCTTGGTGCAGTGCCTTAGGAGAATGCCCATATGTGTTCTGTGGCACTGGAAAGGGTGGGGAGCAAGGCTGGGAAAGGATATAACCTGGCTGGGAGCCCGCTACCCCCCAGCTGTGCTCAGGGCCAGGGGAGACCATCCAATGCAGTGCCGTCATCACTGGGGTGAGTGCTCATCTCACATGAATGCAGTGCCATCATCACTGGGGTGAGTGCTCATCTCACATGAATGCAGTGCCATCATCACTGGGGTGAGTGCTCATCTCACATGAATTCTGCCTCGACCCCATCCAAGGTCACTGCATTGTGGGGATGAATTTCCTCACCAGCTAGTAGGTGGTCCTTGACCTGCAGAGAAACACCCTGGCCCTGGGAGGGGCCATCATTGCCTTATCCACAAGACAGCCCTGAGAAGTCTTGTCACCTCGCCCACAAGTCATGACCCACTAGCCCTGAACCCAACATCAGCCGTTGCCCCCGCCCACTGAAATAGCGACAGTGTCAGCAACTGGAAACGATTGGGTGCCTGTACCAGCAGAACAGCAAGGGCCTCAGAAAGTGGGAGCAGCCTCAGCTTTGGACGCTGCTGAACAGTGTTAATTTCGTCAACGAAAATTTTGACGATAAGTATTCATTGACGACCTTTTATTTCATGACTAAATTGCAACAATAATGTAAATGAAAAAATGGTTGACAACAAAATTATGGTAAAATCTCTTCATTATGCTCTGACAAGTAAAGAGGAGACAAAATTGCTGGTTCTGTATGGGCAGACAACCTAGATCACAGTAGCCACCTCAAAGCATTTTTAACCATTTATATACACATAAATCTGCAAGTGCACATATCAGTTCTCAATGTCACCATTCAACTTTCTCATTGGATGATTTGCTTTTCCCACTTGGTGTAAGTCTGCGCAAATGCCAGCTTCCAATATTACTAATGTAAAGTTCACACGATTTTAGCCCTAATGTCGCTGTGACTGCCACTGAGTGCGGCTGTGAGCCCCAGCCAAGGAGAATGCAAGAAACCTAAGGGAAGAATTTAAAACGATGTAAAAAGTTCAATTTGTTTAGGAACTGTTCTTAGTGTTCAAGGACACACACACACGTGTGCAAGGGTCATCTTGGGGATTAGTATCATCCTGAAACTAAACCGAGATAAATAAATCGTATCTAGTAAAGAGAAGGAAAGACACATGAGATTTATGTTTAGCCCTAATATTTTTGAAGAAGAGTTACTGTAAATTGTGAAGACAGGTTTTGCACATGATTAAATGGGTGTTTGGTAGGTGTTTAGATGTACGTGTTTGGTAGGTGTTTACAG